TGGGGGAGGGGGGAGGGAGGAGGGAGGAGGGAGGGGAGGGGGTGTCGCTATAGCTTCGCCAAACCCTCCCACTCTCGCGGTAGGCTGAAGTGAACGTGTTTATATTAATCCACGTCGCTTCGCCTTCAATATTGTGTTTTCGCTTGCGTTGCGGGAATGTGCAGGACAGGACAGTGCTATAGAGCTAGCTAGATAGATGTCTGTCAACACCGGCAGCTTGTGGAGAGTTGTGGAGGGCTCACGTAACACAGACTCTTCAGAAACGGCGGATAATACCATGACCGAGTGAGTGATTATGTATACGTGGTGTTCTTGAAATAAAAAGAAACCTTTCGCTTTTGTTAGGTAAACACGTCTTGTCAACCCAAAAGTAGGTGTGCCACAGAGAACCGATATTGAATTTTATAAAAACTTTAACAGGATCTTAAGTTAGGATCTAGTAGCGGGAAGTCTTGCGTAAGACCCCTTTTCATTTTATAATAATATGATTATTCTTGTTTACAGTTCGTGCTTTGTGCCGTGCGCACCGCCGAAAATACTTTGATTCTGTTCGGCATTTATGTAGCATAGATCTAGATTGACATTTTCTCAACACGTTGGTTAACCCTTTAGCTGTGTAGAAGTAGCCGGACAGTGAGAAGTCAATCGTCATGGCCTATTGAAAATGCTATCTGTCTGTGTGTCTGTGTGGCTGTGTGGCTATCTGTCTGTGTGGCTGTGTGGCTATCTGTCTGTGTGGCTGTGTGGCTATCTGTCTGTGTGGCTGTGTGGCTATCTGTCTGTGTGGCTGTGTGGGGTCACGGGCCATCCTTACGGCACATACGGATTTCCGCCAGGTAAAGATTATGGAGTGGTCTTCGGGCCAACGCTGTGTAGCACAGAGAATTTTTTAAAAGAAGAAAAAAAAAAGAAAACGGATGTAAAAACGGGCTCGCTTAACTTGAACTTGTGAGGACAGAATGAGGAAGACGACAGGAGGTGCAAAGGTAGCTGATACGTCTTCAACAGTTGGTAAAATTCAGCCGTGACTTTTTTTTTTTCGAATGTAAAGAGACTGTTGTCATCTGCTCGTATTGTTTTCTGTTTTATACTGTTTATAGCACAATACATATATGTGCAATGGAGATACAACACACAGTTTAAAAAAAAATCTTAAGTAACTAAATTCTAAAAACGAACAAACTCACCAACCTTTAGTTAACTTTTTTTTTCATTGGTGAATGAAGCATCTTCCATTTTAGAAACCTCTCAATTATTTAATGTGTTGTGGAGGTACTTAATGTGGTTTTTAGCGGTATGCTCGCTCACATTAAAACGTTCCTTGCGGGAATGTAACATTCAACATGGCGGTCGTTACTGTCTTGAAGAAGATCATTGCGACTCACTTTCTGTCCCCGTCCTTTCTCTGCGGGTAAGGGTCCTAAGAAAGGTTTGAGGAGCGAGAGAGACAGGGAGAGGAGGGAAGAGATAGAGAGGGAGGGAGAGAGAGAGAGAGAGAGAGAGAGAGAGAGAGAGAGAGAGAGAGAGAGAGAGAGAGAGAGAGAGAGAGAGGAGGGGGAGGGGGAGGGGGGAGAGGGATGGGGGTTGTGGTGTTCAAGCTGTGCATAGGCAAAGTGCAACTACATTAACCCGTCAGTAGCCACACCCTGTAGGCCGTGGTGTGGAGAGCCGCGGTAAATAGAGTGGATCGACGAGTGCTTTGACAAGCTGCTTCTCTTTGTTGAAAACTTGGGGGATAGGCCCGGGGGACATTATGGAAAGATTTGAAAAGTGTCATTTTGCCCGTTTTCTATTTTGGGAATTTGTCACGGCGAGAGGCTTCAGAAACTGTAGAACGTTTTGCCCACATTGTGTGTGCGGGCGGAGTGTGCAAGACTGCGCGCGGCTCGGTGTTCAAATATCGTTAGATCTAGACTAGATCTCGGTGCTGTAACAACTGCAGGTTGTGAGACGATCTGACGGACGCAGCCCCGTGCTGTATGCGCCAATTACTCGTCGAAGTGTGTAGTGTTATACAGTGACAGTTCTGATGGTTTGACTATTGTGGTCTAATATCATATCGTGCTGACTGGTTTCGTTTCCTTCCATGCAAAAAAATAAATAAAAAATGACGTCACCGGATATTGCCGGGTGAGTTGGAAGGGATCTGTTGTCTATGTGTTTGTGTGCCCAGGTGCAGACTGTCGAGCAAAACCGTTTAGCATTCAACATTCAGCGGGAACTACAGCCAATCAGATACTTCGACGGAAGTACCAACTTGTGCTCTTTTGTCTGATTGGATGTTTTGGTGAACGGTAAAAGCACAGTGGTTATGATTGGTTGTTTGTACATTATGTCTTTACCAACATTGTTAGGAGAAAACATTCTGGAAATGAAAAGAAAAAGTAACAACATCAACACCATCAACAACAACAACTACAACTACAACTACAACTACAACGACGACAACAACAACAACAACCATAACAACAATTAAGACAATTATCAAGTCCACCTATGCCGGCTTGTTAGAAAAGTGCGCATTCAGATAACATTTTCTAAATGCTGTTACAAATTTGTGTCTTCAGTTCTGATGGGATCATGATCGTAAATGTTGAAAGCAGAATAGAACGTGACATGTCGTTAAATTATTATGATTGCTTGCATTGGACTCTATATACAGTGAAGTGTGTATTGCTTGAAAAGAAAACCCCAAACAAAACAACACCAAGTAATGTTGATACCGCCACCACCATCATATTCAACATTAACAACGGCATCATAACCTACGAAAACAACAGCCACTACATTAGCAACGGTATAACAACAGCATAAACAATATGACAGCATCATCATCAACAACAGCAACAACAAGAATAGCAACAGCTACAGCAATAGAAGAAAACAATAACAAGAACAGCAGCAACAACAGATGAGACAAAACAACTCTCATTTGCCAACAGCCTCTATCTGTGATTGTAATGTTGATTCTCTCTCTCTCTCTCTCTCTCTCTCTCTCTCTCTCTCTCTCTCTCTCTCTCGCGGAGGTGGGTGGAGGGCACTACTGGTAGGTCCTATTACTTAACTTTACCTCTGTTTTTTTCTGTCTCTCTGTCTTACTTTTCCCCAGCCCAAAATGATCGTTAGTGTGTCCATGTGCTTCTGTTTACTCAAACAAACAAACAATCAAATCTCTCTGTGGGTGGTTGGCGGGTGCTCTGGTGTGGTTTGCTCTTTCTGTCATCAGACAACTATCGTCTTTATATCTCCTCCTTCTTTTTAATGTTTGTTACTCTCTCGTGACACCTCTAATCTTCGTGAGTGGTTGGCGGATGCTCTGGTGTGGTTTGCTTCTTCATTTCTATCAAACATCTATCGTCCTTATCTCTCTTCCTTCTTTTTTTGTGTTTGTTACTCTCTTGTAATGCCTCTAATTCTAATCTTCGGCACTTATATGACCTTATTATGTTGCAAGTGCCGCAAAACGCTTTCTAAAACTAAACACCTCTAATCTTCGGCACTTATATGACCTGATTGTGCTGCAAGTGCTGTAAAACTCTTACTGAAACAAAAAACAAACTAATCTCTCTCCCGTTCTCTCCCTTCGTCCAGGAACCGCATCGAGAAGATGGAGGCCCAGCTGGCAAGCCTTACCGCCTGGGTCCATTACCAGAAGGCTGACCCCGCCCCCCGGGATGTGACTCCGCCCCCTCGAAGCCTGGGCAGCATCACGTCCACCTCTGACAGCTCGGACACGTTCCCTGCATCGTCTGCCAGCAGTGAGTGGGGGTTCACCCCATTACCCCTTCCTCTAAGCCCCGCCCCCCTTATCCACGCCCCCTGGCTTCCATACTTAATTTAGACGTCCCAGCCTCAATGTTGAAAACGTACCTACTTAACTATTCGGCTGTTATTGGCAAAATGGAGGGCAAACGAGGCTGGGGTATACCCAGAGCAACTTACTTGGAGAGCATAAAGAGATGGGTAATGGGGTAAGATCAGGATAAGGTAGATCTAGCTTTTTCTTAGAGCATCCGAGCAAAAGAATGAACGAAGATCCATCTTTGGGGACAAATATTCTTTTTTTTCCTACTTCTTTCTGTTGCAACTTGCAGTTGCCTTCTTCTGCTCAAAGCAACATTTTTGTTGTGATTATTGGGTCGACTCTCCGGGGAAGCTTTTGCGTAAATTCGAGCGTTTTTTAAATCTCTGTACAACAGTCTTGCTTGAGTTACCAACATGGAACGATTCAGGTTTACAACATGTTAAGACTCGGATTAACAAACTATTGTCTCTGTCGTTTGACCATTTGAGGTACATTTACAAACTGTTGTGAAGTCTCCGATTGGTTTGCATGTGTTCACGAGACAGTTTTATAAAATTTTTGATCACTTTGACCTCTGAACTCTGTGAATCGGGAGAGGCCTCTTGTCCTACTCTGGTTTGGCATGCAGGACTGACTTTGATATGTGATTCCCTTCTGCATGTTCCCGTTACCGTTTTAGGGGTCCCTTTGGAGCAGTTTAGATCGTATCCTACTTTCCCTATTCTTTAAGTATCAAGAATGTTTAGTACAACTTTTTGGATAATTTTGTGAAATTTTTGCCGACAGCTGTGTCAGTGTTTAATGTGGCATTGGCATTGCACTCTTGAAAAAAAAGTGTTCTACGAGTATAATGGTGAAGGAATAACGAACGTCTTGTTCCATGAGCTGTGTGTCTTTGGAAATCTAAACAGCTGAAGGCACCCTTTCTAAAACAACAGCATTTGCTTAGGTCTTTATGCATACAAGTATGCTACACCTAAGGGTACCGATACCTGCTTTATATAATCTCACTACCTTACCTTAGCGCATAGTGATATGTTTATATCATTATAACAGCTTTATACTTGGTGTACAATGATAATATAACACATAATACCACTTTTCAGCTTTCCGAACCAATGATCTCACTGAGGTCATTGGTGCTTTGATTGGCATTCTTTTGCTGTTGCACTTTTTAAAATGTTTATGTCTACCCAGTTGGTAGTTAGTATTTTTCCTCAAGTGTTGACCAGCGCTCGCATGCGCATTGTGTTTTTCTTTAAACTCTGAATGACGTCATTGCCTTGATCGTTTCCTTTACATCCACAGCACAGCCACACTTTCTTAGCCTAGTGACCACTGGTCGAAATATTGTGTGTCTCGTTTAACCTGGTCATGAGGCCTTCCCTTCGTTGTTCTCTTCAATGTTTTCATTTTTCCCCTTTCAGAAGACAAAGGAGAGAATGCTCCTCCTATTTCGGCTCTCGCTACAACTAACCATGTAGTGCCCCAACAAGGTTTAGACATTTTTCTCTGTTGATACCCATGCACCCGCTACGTAACCCCAATGTTTCAGTTGTAGTGGGCTTGCTTGAGTTTGTTTTTTTTTGGTCTATGTTGCTGTTGTTACCAGAACAGGACCCCAATTGTCCATGGTATCTTAGCATTTTGATATTAGCTTGTTGGTGTTTTTTTGGTTGATTTTTTTGTTTTTGTTTTTTGTTTGTTTTCTAATTTGTTTTCTTTTTCTTTTTTTTTGTTAGTTTGGGCACTTACGTCCCCGATGAGTTCCTTTAGAAATACTTAGAATTGGCTATGTGCTGTAAATACTGTTTGAAAAATGGGTGCAAGTTGTCTTTAAGATGGGCAACATTACCTCTAAAGCACGTCTTACTTAAGCAATCACTACAAAAATTAAGTAATTCATATTTTAACTTATATAAATTGTAACATTTTAAACAGTTTTAATTTCTACTGAAGAGATATGTTTAACATTAACCAGGATTCAAAATACGTATTGCAAAATGTATCTATTTCTTGTAGCATACTTAACCGTCATGTTACCGCACTCTATTGGTCTATAAGATGACACCGTGTCCCAGTGTAGTGTATCAATGATGTTGATGTGTTATATATATATTCAAGAGAAAGCTGTTGCAGTAGGTTTTGGTAAATACATACACACCGAGTTGAGGAAGATAAACTAAAGACAACACAATGTGGACGCCGGAATTTAGTGGTTGGTGTTGTTGTTGTTTCATTGTTTCGTCGCTCAACTGGCTGTAAATGTTTATTGTCGTTAAAGTGGTGACCAGATGCGATGCCGACGGCGATAAGCATGAAGAATTAACCAAAACTGCCTCGGCAATGACATACTTTTTGGCGACAGATACTATTTTTGTCTAGATTCTAGTATTCCGATGTAGTATTGATTTTTAATTCTTAAAGTTGCATGATTGTCATTTAAACTTGACCACTTGAGCATTTTACTGAACACATTTATATAATGATTATTGTTTGCTGTTTGGTGTCGCGCTGTCTTGTAGCATGGCCATTATTTGTTGTGCATTTGGCTCTTGCATGACTTCAGATGTCCATTACTTTTTTGCCTGTTCATAGTTGGCATGCGTGCTTGGTTGCGTATGGTGACGTAGCCACATTTCACCCATCAAAAGAATGATTTATCTGTTTTCTGTTTGATGTGCTGGCTGCAGGTAGCCAAGCAAAGCTTCTGTAGGACGTTCCATCCGTGAAGATGGCAAAGAAGTCACGGCTTTATCCACGTTAAGTTACTGTGAATCAATGTGTGCGGTTTTTTTTTCTTCAAGTATGCCATGCGCTTGCGCGAGTGTGTGTGTGTGTGTGTGTGTGTGTGTGTGTGTGTGTGTGTGTGTGTGTGTGTGTGTGTGTGTGTGTGTGTTTGTGTGTTTGTTTGTGTGTTGCGCGCGAGCGCGCGTCTCTGTTTGTTCATGTACGCTATGGGGTCATTTTGTTTTTGTGGAGATAGGGACCGCACAGCAACATAATTTTATCCCCCACCTTCACATTCCTGTGTGCTCTGCTCCAGGTTCTCATTCTCCCTCCCCTTCTGCACCACCACTTCCTTTCCTATTCCAAACCTCCCAACAAATGTCTTGAGGTTCTTCCTGTATAAATGTAGGTCTAGATGTGCGCGCGCGCGCTCGTGTGTGTGTGTGTGTGTGTGTGTGTGTGTGTGTGTGTGTGTGTGTGTGTGTGTGTGTGTGTGTGTGTGTGTGTGTGTGTGTGTGTGTGATCATGCCACGTTTGATTCCTTATTGTCACATCTCCAGCCCCTGCTCTATACATTGTTGCGTTTGATGTTTTCGCTTGTTGAAACATTTCGTTGACACGTTTTGTTGGCACTTCAGCCTATGGCAATTTGATCGTTTCATGTACATGGAGCTCTTTCTTTCCATGGACATTTTAATAATGGAAAACGGATTGCGTGTCATGGAACAATGCATGCACGATGTCCTTGGAGGTTATAATTTGTCGGTGTTCAATCAATTTTATTCTTTTCTGAATTCTATTGCAAGGCTTAAATTATGTCATCTCGCCCTAATCTGAACGTTAGCGCCGTGAACGTTATGTAAATTGTGTTGTTTTAGATGTTCGCGGCAGTGAGAGCTAGATTCCTAAAGCTACAATGAAATGTTTTCTTTATAGAGAAATTGACTAGATCTATATTATTTTTTTATTATGCGATTCACGTTTACCCCACTCCTTTCTACTCTTTTGTATTGTGTCTATACCGTGCAAAGGGTTTCATTTGGTCCCCTTTTTCGTAATGACATTTTATAGGCCTACTACTACTAAGAATATGCCCTCTTTCGTCGCAACAGACAACAGTGTTTGCACTCTGCTGGCGTATATTTGATGTCATGTTGCGACAGACAGGTAAAATTGGGAGAGGTAGACTCAAGTGAAAAGGACTAATTAACTTTGGAATCATTAGAAATGTTTACTGGGGCCCTAGCTCTGCTCTTAATTGAGATATATTACCGCAAATACTTTTTGAAAAAAGATTTAAGAAGGAGTGAGGCAAGGATGTGTTATGTCGCTGACTTCTTGGGAAAAAAATCGTCAAATATATAGAGAAGAAAGCTCAGGCCTGAAAGTGAATGGAGAACATTTTAATAATATCAGACACATCGATGACACAGTTTTAATAGCAGATTCAGAAAAGTGCCTCTACTGCTTTTAGATACTGTTATGAAGGAAAGTGGACGTAAGGGGTTATTTTCAAAGGTAAAGGATGCTGAATGCATTGACAGTGTCTTAAAAAACCCAACAAAAAACAACAACAGTGAATCTTATTTATAATCTCTTTAAGCTAAGGTGGAAACATCAAGCAGGTTCATTAGTTCAAATATCTAGGATATATTATTGCATCTGATGTCAAATGCACCACAGAAATAAAATACGGTATCATCTTCAGGCTAAACCATCTACCCAAGTGTGTGACACGGAACATGAGTCATTTCAAACCCTTGACAATGTTCATTCAGCCAATAACACGTTCGTTTTTACTTTCCTTCTCGATATTCTATGTTTGCTCTAGCCGGGCATCTTGACATTTTAAATGAGAAGCATGCATTATGATGATCACTGAAGGACGTAATTTGTTGACATCCGGGCATCTTGACATTTTAAATGAGAAGCATGCATTATGATGATCACTGAAGGACGTAATTTGTTGACATAACAACGTGACATTATGAACTGATTGTATGTATTTTTTAGGGTGCGGTGGCGTTATGCATGGCGTGGTTTAGGTTAGTCTTTAGGACAAGTTTTACGACTTCAAAGCGTAGGTGGGGACCAGACATAGGAAAAATAAAAGATAAGGGATTGCAAATGGACAGTATTCTTTGTATACTCTGTAAGTCATTACAAAAACGTTCAATGGTAAACTTCAACCCCGACCCTTTTCACCTTTCCCCTTTGACCTCTTATCTTTCATTTTCACCACCTAGACCCCTGTAGTACCCATTGGTGTGTGTGGGTGTGTGAGTTTGTTGTAGATTAGCTTCTCTGGTAACATATTGTGCCCTTTTGGTTGGACTGTGTGATTTCTACGTTTTTTGAACTGACTATAGCATGAGTGCATGTCTACTGATGTCATCTTTATCTACCCCTCTATGTATTCTTACTAAATAGGAAAAAAACCCAACAAACCCCCCCCCCCCCACAAGACAACAAAACAAAAATATCCCCTCCCTCTCCACCCAACAAACCCACAAACCAAACATGGCCTGTAATGTCCTGTTTTCACCTTCCATCAGCTGAACGGATCATATGTTGCTGCTGTTGCTTGTCCTGCACATTAGTGTTGTGAATTGTTCAGGCCTTTTTATCACTAGCATCAAAGGTTTTTCTCCTCTAAAAAAGTAGTTCTTCAACTGCCCTCCCCCCAAAAATGTGTAATAATAGTGAAGTAACAGGCTAACAGCTTTCTGTTCATCTTATCTCTTTTTGCTTTAAAAAAAAAGAGTTTCCCT